CAGTTTTTTTTCTTTTATTTTACACCCGGTCTCGTTTCTTCGTGACGTCAGAATTGACCCTGAGAGAGTCGATACTCTCGTTTCAGCGGTTTTTTTTTTAGTTTTAATTAAGTTATTCGGTGATTTTTTAGGGGGGGTTTTTTAACATATTGGGAATAATAATTGGTAGTGAAGCTTGTGGAGGTCAATGATTCGTTGATTTTCTCATTTGTTAGGTTGATTTAGTTTCTATTTGTTGGGGAATTTGTTGTTCGGAATTTTGGGGTCTGAGTGGATAAATATGAAGATAAGATAAAGTGAGTAAATAAAGTGATGAGTAAAAAATGGAATTTGTTGAAAAAATATGAAGGACTGAATTATTATTTGGGGAAATAATTAAAAATAATTGGCAGTTTTTTTTTTAATGATTGAATCATTAAGTTTTTCTATGGGGATCTTTGTTAATATTCTGGAAATAATTAATTTGTGATTATCCTGTCGAATTGAAATTGAAATTGAATTTTTTTATTGGAGGAATCATTAATTTCGCCAATTTGGAGCTCAAGATTTTTTTAATTATCAGTTAATTATGTTTTTTTGTGGAGGGAATCGCTCAGAAATTTTTTTACCTGAGATTGTATTTTACGTCAGAGTTTATTGATGAGTTTAATAATAAGCTTATTAATTATTCAAACGTAATCAGAGAGAAGTGGAACTTTATTTTGTAGTTCGTGTTGTGACGATGAAAATTATCGAATCGTTAATTTTGTCGAGTTGTTTAAACAAATTTTCGATGTGTACTATTTGATATTATTGAGTATTTGTCATAACACTGATAATATTCATGGCAATTGATAGGTCATTGATTGATTGATCGATTGATCGATTGATCCTCGACTTCAATTACGTTTTCAAAGATTTTAACGTTCAAAAAGAATTTTCAAATCATTTTTACTAATTACATTCGAATTAAAATTCTTCGCAATGATGAATCATCAAATTTATTCTAAAAAAATTAAAATAAGAAAAAAATTTAAAGAATTGAAAAAAAACTGTGGAAACTTTTCTTGTTTTTCTCAATTACTCTGCGTCACAGGAATAAAATTATTCTAACGATCAGTTAATTAATTAGACTCATCGATCTTCGTTAGCGATAAAAAAGGTAGAATCCCAAACATTCGATCTGTTAAATATGCAATTGTCCTTAACCAATTCATCTGTGATCCATAAATCGATCGATATTCTGAATAAACAATGAATTCATGAATGAATCGATCAATGAATTATTCAAGATGTGTTATAAATATAAATGACAGTAATTTTTTTATGAAAAAAAAATGATGGAAGATGGAGTGAAAAAAATAGTGCAACAGCGAATGAGTGAAGTGAATTGTTCGATTTATTATCGAGGAAGAATCATGTTAATGGGATTTGAATTAAATTCGTGGATATTTTCGATTAATCGAGTAATTAATGTCACGGTGAAATGGATTAACCCGCAATGGAAACGATTGTTCCCCCTTGACATGGACGACCGATAAAATCATCATATCCTTGCACTTTTATTATTACCACAAGTTTATGACCCGTTTTACATTCCAAGAGGGAGAGGATAATTTGCAGCGAAAAAAATTTGCCAGTTAAAAAAAATCGCATTATCAAAATGAAATACTGCTAATTATTTCGTATTAAAATTGATCGTTAGATTTTCATAATTAAATGTCAATGATATTCCTATTTAATTATTGATTTTAATGGAAATTTAATGACGAGTATTATTAAAATTATTATTTTATTAACATGAATTAAAATTGGAAATCAAACTTTTCAATTTTTTTCAAATATTTCGGAAAATCTCCCGAAAATTTTCGATGAATCATTTAAATATTATTTAATGAGTAATTGATTAATTAATCAACAGTCTCCGAGGAATATTAATTCCCCTAAAATTCCCTTCATTTAGAATTCGCGGATCTCGCGGATCTCGCGATTTTAAAATATTAAGGGAATAATTTCCCTCATGAATCCCCAAAACCCGAGAGAAAATCTGCAAAATTCTCGTACCAATAATTATCCCTAATTACCCTATCCCCTCACAAAAGGCCATTTCAATTCCGCGCAATGACGACTCATCAACAATTTTTCATTTACGCGTCAATGACGTGCGAGAAAAGAAAATGGGCGCAAAAACAAAATGAAAAAATAAAACTCCGCATTCCAATTTTCCGATAATAATTTATTTAATTTCATTGCAATTCCCACGTGCCATCTCGATATCGGAACAATTTCTGGTTTGACGCACGCTGTGAAAATAAATTCGATGCCCAAAATATCAGTGGAATATTTTTTAAAAAATTGTGTTCCCATTATTCCTCTTGAACATCACAGAACACTATCGAATTATGATTAATACCCGATCATTTGTCATGAGCAATTGTCATCACTCACTAGAATGTCTTTTGTACTAAAAACAGACTGTTTACTCTGATAAATAATAATTAAGTGCCTTTAAATAACAAGTCGGAAGCGGAGAGAAAAGTTTGAGTATGACCAGTGCAATTGCTCATGATCAAGACATGAATTCAATTTATTTCTATTAAATACCTGGGAGACAAGCGTCAAATAATAAATTAGCAAAAAAAATAAATAAATATCTTCCATTTCCATAAAATTCCTCTAATTTCAACTAAAATATTAAACTTTAGAAATGATGAAAAATAAGATTAATACATGAATTAATCTCGATAATATCATTAATTATTTATAAACTCGAGCGAAAATTTGATGGGAAGTTCATTGAATATGAATTTGTGGAATAATAAAATTGCCATTTATTATCGTCATTAATTTCGGAATGAAATTGCTTTCCATGCGAATAATTAATTCATAGAGATAAAATAGAGGAATCAATAATTAAATAAAATTAATGATCGATTAAATTTTTCACATTGCGGAGAACGAGAGATGGAATTGATTAGTTTATCAGGGATAAATAAAATTCCCGGTGAAAAGGAACACGTGCCAAATAAAGTGTCAGAAAGAAATTCGGTTAGTGTAATTTCTCGTGACTATTAAATCAGTACCACGAAACTATCGCAAGTGAAGAAATGCGTTCAATCGAACATTTATTTTGAGCTGTTTCATTATTCAAAGGGGAATATCTAAATATAAAGTGGCATTAGCATTGAGGGACAATGTGTTCCTGACGGTTTCCGTAAATTTATTGGTAGAAGAGAGTGGCAATGGGTTTTAACGGATTGATTTATAAATATTTGATAATTTATCAAGACTAGAGACAGGATTTCCCGGAATGGGAAATCTATTCTGTGACGTAAACTGTTGATGTCCATAAATTTTCAATACGATTGATAAATATCGGTATCGCCGAAAAATGTCAAATTGATTCTGCAATGTAATTCGAGTTAATTATTCATCTTGACTTAAATGAATTATCGACTTGATTCAAATTACTTTTTCAAGTGATATTTTCTATTATTTTTTCTGAAAATGATTTAGAAATCAATCCCACAATCAGCAATCCTGATAAAATTCCAAATAATAAATCCGAATAGTTCCTCAACTTACGGTTTTGGACGACAAGCAGGCATCATTAAGATAAAGATGATGTGTCTCCCACCTCCTGAGGAACTTGCTGCTGAGTATCTTGCTGACAAGTGTCCTGGTGTGATTCAAATAGCAGACCTGTACATCGCCCTCCTCAATGGGTCTGAACCTCGGTCCAGCGGGTCCAGGACTAGGACTTGGACTCGAGCTACCACTCGCAGAAGACCCACCAACGGACTGCTGTTCAAGATTCGGACAAGACCTAGCAGCAGGAAGACAACTAGGTGCATCTAGAGTATCACCCTTTTTCATGAGTCCAAGGGTGCCCTTCAGCTCCTCATTAACCGAGAGTGTGTCAGCCTTTTCCGGACAGACATCACCATCAATGGTGGCCGTTCCCGATGACAGCTGTGGTGAACTAGTGCTCGTTGTCTCCTGCCTCATGCCACCATTGACGGATAAGAAATTGTAATACGGTTGATAAGGCACCGGAGCTGGTGCAAGACCGACTGATATAGCAGCTGCAGGACTAGACGGCAATGAAGACCCCTCCTCAGTCTCGGTTTCAGCCTCAGGCTCGTCCACTTCCTCGTCATCATCCTCGTCCTCGCTGAATCCATTTAACGATGGTATATCATCAACAGAACTAGCTTTGCCGTCCTTCTTCGTGTTCAGAACGACTGAATTCTCGTTAGCCTTGAGACGGAGAAGAAACTTCTTCCGCCATTTCTTTGGCGATGTCTTTCCCATCTGTGGCAATTGATTGTCCAAGGATGCCAATGGTGCCAGGGTAGCACCTGGTCCTGGTGACAGCGGATCTGTCTCAAAATAATCCGCTTGCGCACCAGGTAGTGTATCTGTACTGCTGCTCTCTGATATCGATGCCTGATCTATGAAGCGAATTGATGAGCTGGAGTCCGCTTCTGAGGCACGTCTGCTTGGCTCTGACAAATCCTTCAGCTGACTATCTATACTCATTTTGGAGGAGGTGGGAGCTGGCAGGGATGGGGACGTCACCGTTGACGATGCGGTTGACCTAAGCGTGCGCGTGAATGGACTTTGAAAGCAAAACATTGTCGTCTCTCTGGAGGATTTCCTTTGTCGCTCTTATTCTCCAGGTTTGACCCTGCAACCGCTGTCCGTTAATGAGTTGGTCACCAATTTTTCAAGGCTGTACTCCCGGTGAATCTGTGAGGGCGCGTCTCAAGCTCGGTCCTTACTAGCCCTTCTTAAAGATTCGTCACTAGTTCTACTAGTTGACCATCAAATTTTGACCCATTGAAATTCTCAAAACCCCGAACTTGACCCTCAACTCCACTTGTAACAATCACAGATTATTTGACCCACTGATTTGACCCTCGGGGGTGAAATCAATTGAATTTGCAAAATTATCGAGTTTGATGATCAACTTCACTTTTAATCACTGATTATTTGACCCTTCAGGGTGAAACCTAATTAATCTGTCGACGGAATTACGCGCCTTTTTTGATCGCAACTCGATTAATTGCTATTTGGGTAAAAAGGGACTAGATAGGGTGCATTTTTTTTCGAGATCGTTGCCCAGACCGCCGGTACATTTTTTCCGTTTTAGGGTGTTTTTATGGCTCTACCCCATTCACCGAACCTTATCGTGGGTTCACTCGCACGTTCACCTACTCACTTCACTAGTTTTGTTTACCCGATTGAAATTCAATCACCACTTATTTCTCTTTTTCGAGTGGGATGGGGGAGGGGGCAGGAGTTTTTCGGGTTTATTGCGCCTTCGGTGTGACACTCATCTGGGTTCAACCATGACGATGAGGGCGGGCGAAATGAGAGAGTGGAGCTGCTGAAGAGGGCGCGTCGCGGCGCACCACGTTCCCGTCCGATCGATGAGGACTCGGGGCAAATGTGCGGAATATCCTCTGATGTGAGGAGTTATGAGGGTACTTTATGAGTTTTAATTTTAAGGGGAGGGCGGTTACAGTACAGATTTTCACGAAATAAATTTCGCCGCGCGCAACACCAATTTGCACCGCCAAAAAATCGGATTTCGAATTAACTGACGTGCCACCGATTACGGGTTCAAATCCCCAACAAAATCATCCTCGAGAGGTCTGGCTGCCTCTTTTATCAATCACTTTCTCTCATTTTTTTCGCCGTCTCATTGTCCAAGAGGAAAAAATCACGAGAATTTCACGAAATTTCCACAGTCCCGAGTCACCTCTGGAGCACTAGTTTTCCAAGTTCTCAAAACTCTCGGTGAAATTCCGGAATTGACGTCTCGCACTATTTGAAGTCGTGGGTAAAAATAGTAGAGATTTTATAGTTGAGTTTAGATTGCATTTGCTGCACTTTATTTAACGGTTGGGATGGAAAATAGATGGAAAATAGGTGCGCGTTGTTTTTGGAAATTTTTTACTGGCCGATTGTTTTCCCGCCGATCTGAGCCGGAGGATCGGTGATTTTGAACTATTGCGAGACCGTAATGAGAGCCGGAGGAAAACAGCGGTCTCTTTCTCTCGTGGATACGCTGTCTCACTCAATTTTTTTTGTTGTTCTGCCTCGCGGGTTTTATAGACACCGATTGGCTCTCCTGATATCGCACGTCACACAGAGTGAGACAGAGTTCCCCGGGTTGTATCAGCGCAAAAACGTTTTCTCAAATGGATCTGAGTTTCTAACACTCGTGTATTTATAAATAATGGATTTTAGGCAGACGCTGAGGGGGAGATTGTGCTTTACCTTTCATCCCCACCTCCTGGACAGTGGGTGGGGATGCAAGGACTATATATAAATCATTTACTTTTTTATTTTTATTGCACAAGAATTGCAAATCGAATTTTCAAACGGAAATCGGTTATTTATAGGGCAGATTCGTGCATTCGTCATTTTACCCTTTCTGTTTTTTCCCTCATTTTTTATTTCTTTTGACATTTTAAAAATTTATCAGATCATAAATTTATTTAGTTTGCCGTGGAGAATTTTATATCAATTGTTTCGATCAAATATTGAATATTGGTTTGGGATTTCATTTTTTTTTTATCAGAAATCTTTTGATCGAATTTTTTTTATGGAAATTATTTATTTATATTGCAAATTAGCGCTGCAGGAAACGGTTAAACTTTTTCTTTTTTCAAGGTTTTTGCGTTGTTAATAAAAAAATGATCTAAATCATAAATTCCGGAATTTTTTGCTTTTATTTCCGACGATTTCCACTTTTCCATTTTAGTTGTTCTTCCATTTGATTGAGAGAAGAATTTTAAGTTATTATTATCAATATATATGCAAGTCAATATTATAATTATTAAATATTCACGCGGAGATCAGTAAACAATTCTGGATATTTTTGCAAATTCCTTCGGCGATATTTCTTCAATTATTTTCCGATTGCGATTTCCTGCCGATTTTTCCTCGTCATGTTTAGAATTTTCTCCTCGTGGTAATGACGTTAATCCCTTTCGTACAATTATTAATTAAACAACGATTTTCTCGTCTTTACCAAGAAAAATTTCCTGTCGCAATTCGATCCCCAACCGCTAAATTCACCGGTGATAAATAATTCCCGAGCGATGCAGCTTTATAAAAATTGTTATTTGAGCGTAAAAATTTGAAATATAAAAGGATTTGCGTCAGAAAGTAAAATTTAACTTATCCGCACTATTTCCACCGCTCCAAAGCCATTAAACGCACGAATAATTCTTGGAAGTCAATGATAAAAGTATTTTATCACCTCGACCGGTATAAGAATGCCAATTCCTGAATTATGAGGGTAAATTGATGGAAAAATTTGATGATTCAATAATATAAACAGCATCAGGAAGCCCTCAGGGTCTCGAAAACGTCTGAACGACCGTGAGCAATTCAATTGTACTATTCATTTCACACAATGACCGTACAAATATGAGAATGACGTTGGTCACTTGAACATTTTAAGTATCGCGAAACTCTTGAGTAAATGATGTGATGTGATGTGCTGTTACGCACGTTCTCAATTCAATTGAAACCGTTTTTTTCTCCTGAATTATTCCCCGTTGTTCGTTGAGACGATCGAAAGAACAGGAACTCAATTGAAAAATTGAAAAACAGATCAGTTCATCCATTCGAAATTTATTAGAAATATAATCAGATAATTCATACATTATCTCAATAATTTTTATTAATTGTTTTTTCGGCAGTTTTTGATAATTCATGTTCTTATTGTTTCGTTATGACCGAAAATTTTCATGAATCAATTAAATTTCAATTTCTGTGGATCAATGATAACATCTCATTATAATTATGACTGAATTCTCGATTCAAACTCTAAAATGGCACAGATAAAAATCAGTTCCTGACTTTTATGACTTTTTTCTGGATTTCTTATCTAGAGTGAATCGTAGGGGAGAGCGATTGCTTATGATTTCATAGCGGTTTTAAATTTATTCAAGTATTCACATTTCCTACAATTGGAAGGCTCTGATAATTCTGATAGTTATCGATTTCTCACAAACAAAATTAATAAAATTAACTGAATGGAAGACAAAATCACAGAGAACATCAGGGACTTCATAAATCCCCAACGATCTCAATTAATCTCACCATCCAATTCAATCTCAATCAATTTTTTATCAATAAAAAATCATTCGCCTAATATTAACAGAAGGATTTGCAGTGATTCTCAAGTATTTGAAATGTAAAAAAATATGAATTTCGGGATTGAGTGGATTGATTAATTGGGAATCATCTCTTCGTGGATCAACTTGAGACTGTCACGTCCTGGTGCCATCCAGGCCTCGATTTCCTCGACACTGTAAAAAAAAACGAAATTGAGAAAAAAACTCAGACGATAATTGGTTGCCTCGTTACTGGCATGAGTTGCACATTCAAGAGGAAAGAGCTTTGGGAAAGTCTAAAGTCCCAGTGAGAATTCCAACAATTTAAATGAGGAACAGTGGTACTGACGTTCTAGGGACTTGAGTAAAGTTCTCCACTCCATCATCAGTTATCAACACGTCATCCTCGATCCTGACGCCACCGAAACCACGAAACTTGGAGATTTTATCCACCACCATGTACTGACGTTGCTTTGGATTCGAGAGAGCAGCATTCAACAGCTGTTCAACATAAATCATTAATTAATTACATTATTTCTGCATCAATTTTGATGATAAAGAAAAGAGCTATTCCAAAATCTGTCATCAGCTTTAAAAAATCGGGACAATTAATAGAAGAATTAACTGAATATCAATATTGCATTGAATAAAAATTTAATCAGACAAAATTTTTATTCGATGAATTTAATTGATCAACGGATTGATGAATGACTCACAGAATCAACGAAATAGCATCCTGGCTCGATAGTGAGAAACATTCCAGCCAGAAGTGTCCTTGCAGTTCTGAGTTTTCGTATTCCCGGCTTAACAGATCTCTCAGGACAACCCGAGAGATAGCCCCCCACGTCGTGTACGTCGAGACCAAGGAGATGACCAAGGCCATGAGGCTGGAATGTCTCATTGAGTCCCACATTCATCATATCCTCAACTTCTCCACACAGGAGACCACCATCTCTCAATGCTGCCAGCATCACTCGATTCGCTAGCAGATGCATTTCTGTCCAGCTGACTCCAGGCTTAGCTGCCTCAATCACTGCATTCCTGGCACTGAGAACTGCGTTATAGATGAGCTTCTGATCATCCGTGAATTTTCCAGTCGAGGGAAAGGAGCATGTGATGTCTGCTGCGTAGCCACAGTAATTTCCTCCCATGTCGAACAAACTGAAAGAATAATCCAAGGATTTTAATTAATTACGTGCAGACAAGATGAGATTATTGTCAGGGAGTGACAACTTTTGCTATTTCAATTATCTATTTGAATTTTCTATTTTTCTCATCCTTTTTTTTCGATTTTTACCTCGTTTAATTTGTAATGAAGGCATTGCGTGTTTTTTTTAAAAGGGATGAGAATAAATAGTGTTGTGACTTTACCACATATCTCCCTCCTTAATGACTCGGTTATTAGGCGCCCCTGCATGTCCATAATGTAAAATTGATGAATTATTCCCAGAGCCACACATGCACGTGTAGGACACGTGTCTGCATCCACCCACTGCATAAACGTAATGTTTAAAGAGGGATTCGCTCTGGAACTCTGTCATACCGGGTCTGACGTTTCTCATAACGACTTTGTGGGCATCCGAGCTGACCTTGGCGACGTACCGGAGGACTTCGATCTCCTGGGGGGATTTTATTACTCGACTGAAACCAAAAAAAAAAATCATTTCATCATTGATTTTCAAATTCTCAAATTTTCACTCCACTCCGTCCGCTATTCCCCCGCGATTATCTCGAGAACGAGTGATTTTCTGGGAAAATTCTAGGGACCTTTTTTGTAGCTCGGCAAATTTCCAAGGAAAAAGTCTCACATCATTTTTCCATGGAGCGACTCGTTACCGAGATATTTAGAATTGAAGTTGAGGGATAATGGAAAACCTCAGAAAGGTTCTTCAGGTCTTTTGAATCTCTCCCTCAGGTACTCCTCCAGGCCCTCGTCCTCGCCGCACCAGTTGAGGATTTGGGAATAATCAAGGGTGACTACCTGCATTCCCATTTTTCTCAGGTGCCTGATTCTCATGGCCTTGGGGCCGATCAGGACGTCAGTACCGCGACAGTAATCCTCGGGCAAGTGAATCAGGACTGCAGTTCTCCTACCCTCGTTGACCTTGAACAGAGGAGAGGTCACTGGAGTCTCATGGACAATGGCATCGACGATGTAATCGTGATGATTCAGGAACTCCCCGATCACCACGGATTTGCTGATCACTTCCTCTCCACAAATTGTCACCAATTTCGGGTAGATGAGGTTCAAGACCCTCCGCAATTTCGACCTGAGGGCCACCGATTTCTCCAGTTTATCCTCCTCAAAGTGCTGAACATAATCCTGATACTCGATAGCCAGTGACTTGTCCAGCAGCTTCATCCTCTGCTTCAAGACCTCCCGCGATTTAATCCGTCTCATTAATCTGGACTTGAAAATTTTACTGGAGAACTGAATGGAGAATTTCTGGAGATAAGCGCAGGACAAGAGAACGTTTATCGCATCGTTAGGACTCATTTTGCTGAGTTTTTTCTCCAGAATTTTCTCCAGGTCCCTCCAAAAGGTGCCCCCCACGTTGTAATTGAGGTATCCGAAGGGAACAAAAATCGACGCCAAAATATTCTCCGGAATCTCCAGCCCCTTTTTCGCTAGATAACCTGCGCAATTCTCCAGAATCACTGGATTCCTGATTCTGAGATTCTGACAGTAGGTCATGATGCTGGAGACCAGCACTGGACTGGGGTCTTTCCGTTTCTCCAGAAGCTCCTGGAGGGCAGTTTCGAAGTGGCTGGAGTAAACTCCAGTGGATATCAGGGCTTTGACAAAATTAATGACGTCCTCCTCTCCAGCTGGAGAGGTCAGGCCTCGCCTGGACCATTTCTCCAGGCACTCGAAGACGATCGGTGAGGAGAGAGAGTCCTGGAAGACCCTCAAAATCTCCCCTACCTCCGAGGCATTGAGCTCCCTCCAGAATTCCTGGAGTTTTTTCTCGCAGATTATCTTCACGACCTTCTGACTCTCTCCAAAATAATCCAGAATTTTCATCAGGGATAAAAAATTCCTCGATGTTATCTCGTGCTGTTTCGCCTCGATTCCACTCCAGAGGAGATCGATCGCCTCCCGGTACCTCCTGTCGTGATAATTCGAAATTGTTTTTATCAGTTTTATTATCTTCTCCAGCTGGAATTCTCCAGCCGTCACTCGGGTCAGAGACTCGTCGACGAGTTTGTCGCGGTAGGGATTGCGTGGAGGGCTCATTCGATCCTTGGAGAGGAGGGCCAGCCCCTCCAGCAGGAGATCGTCCTCCTGGAGACTGGAAATCGTGTCGACGACGTCCTGGAGAAGTTCGTTTCGCGTCGAGCGGTACTGGTCGTACAAGTAGGTGGAGAATTCCTCGTGGTAGATCAGTGAATTCTCGCTCTGGAGAATTCTGGAGAGGATCTGGAGGTACACGCGGCATCTCACGTTCAGGGGAACATCCTCCAGTCGACAGAGGGAGGATTTTTGAGGGCTGGAGGGTGACGGTGCACCGAAGAGAATAGCAGTTCCATCTTCGGTATTTATTTCTATTCGCTTCTGGAGGCGCTTGGCGTTCGCCTCTGGAGCCTCCAGGAAGGTCACACCGTCGATTTTAACGAGAATTTCTGGGGGTACGGTGGATTTTTCTGGAGCCTGCGGCGGTTTTGGAAGGGGCAGGGATTTTCGCGGGGTGACTGGGAATTTTGAGAGGTCGGAGGTCAGTGGAATCAGCAGTGGAGCCTCCAGGATCCAGGGGCCCTCTTGCAGGAGGAGCGTTGACGGCGCGAAGGAGGAGATACTCAGGGGCTTCAGGAGATATTTACAGGGAATCAGGCGTTTCCACATTTTTTTTTTCAGGGGTTAGACTGGAATTTTGGGGTGAAGGTGGCACCAGGTCGCGGGTGACTGTCGATTTTATTGGATTCCATTTTTTTTTAAGGGTTATTAATTTCTCGTGTTTATTCATTCCTAGAAAATTCTGGGATGAATGCTATTTAATCTTTGTTAATTATAGAGTTAATCATAAAAAGTTGAAGATTTTTCTGATTAAATATCTTTTTTAATTAAGTAAATAGAAAGTTTTAAATTGAAAGGTTTCCTAATGAAATTATCGAGAGAAGAACTAATTGGAATAATTAGTGAATCGATTTATTGATACGTACCACTCACAGATTACGGGGTACAGCAGTTCGTTATCAACTTTAAAGCTGAAAATAATAGAATTCATAATTAATCTGTAATCTTAGACATTTTTAATTGCAATCCTAAATCTAGAGCTCATCCGGAATTAATTAATTCATTAATTGAATATAATTACTCAACACTCACTCATTAATTCCATCGAATTCAGCTGCTTTGGCAAAAAGTCCACTGTCGCTATTCAGTCCTCTCTAAAAATCCACAATAACAATAAAAAATTGCGTAGAATATTTTTTAAAAATCGGGATTAACGCAGGTAAAAAAAAGGGAATGAAAGGGAAAAAAAGGGAATTCCAGAAAGAGTTTAATTTTATGAAAAGAAATCCTGTCAAAATATGAAAAGTATACAATAAGAAAATCTTTTCTGGAATGAATTCAATTTGTTTTTATTAAAATTGCTTTTTGTGGGATCAAAAATTTTCGTTGATTTGTATTTTTCCTTCAATAAAACCAGAAGGAAACTCGCGGAATTGTGAATCGTATGCAAATAACAGGCACTTTCGAGAAAATAGGCAAAAATAATCTATAGAATACATATCTGTGTTCATAAAGACCAACTAAGGTTTAACGTGTCATCGATTTCTTCTGCAAAATGCAATAGTCGACGAAATTACGCTCGATTTATCTTTTTGTTACATCTCGGACTACATCTAGGGCTCAGGGAAAGGTCTTATCTGATTGGAAAACTCTTTCCAGCGGTTTGAAATGCGGAGAAACATTCGGGTGGAAATTGGGATTTAAAAAATTGTTTTAGGCGAGGGAAAAATACTGCCTCGGGGCTATCAAATGCATGGCATAACGTGATTGCCATCGGGGTCGAGGAAAATAAGCAGTTACTCGTGGAGATACATCGATATACTGAAGACATTGATCGATGTTTTTTTAAAAATAGAATTTGTTTATTTTGTGGAACACTAAAGAGTCAGAAATTAATCGCTGATGTTTTAGTACGGATATCTCAGAAGCTATCGGATCTGGAGAAAAAAGTGATAGTACATTTTTTGAAGACAATTTAAAGCTCTACAAAAAGTTCTCATAATTTTTTTCTCTCAATGTCTTCCTTCAGTGATAAAATTCCAAAAATCGCATTAAGAAAATTAACGAAAATTGAGAAGCGACGAGTTTACACATAAATTTTAGAACGAGTTTTTTGCGGATATCTCAAAAACAATGGGATCTAGAAAAAAAAGTGAAAAGACTTCTTCCGGCGAGATTGTAAAGCCCGACAAAAAGTTATTATATAATTTTTCTCTAACCGTGATTCTTCACCGAAAAAAATGGCAAAAATCAAATATCAAAAATAGTTGAAATCGGAAGAAAGGATGAGTCGGTAGAAATATCTAAAAATAAATCTCGTTCCACATTACAGAAAAGTAACTAATTATTCCCGAGGTCAGAGCTCTCCCTTTCTGGTTCATACGTTGTAAAAAAAATCGCCAGTAATTCAGCGACTTATGTGGACTCTTCCTCTTATCAATAATTGATTTACACGTATGAAAGTGGCTCGAAAGAATTCAACAACAATTGTTCGTTCGATTGAACAGAATAAGTAACGAAATAATTGATGGAATCAATGACCCGAAAGGTGTCTGGTAGTGAAATAATTCAACGGATGTCAATTTTAACTCTGGATAAAACCCACCAGTGTGAGTACTTGCTGGGCATTTTTCTTCTTCAACACCTGCGCTATTCCTTCAACGTAATACGCCTCGTCCACGTCATAACGATGTTTGAATTCATCTAGTGTACTAAGTTTACCACACCAGATCTCGTACTCAGCTGGTAGTCGTGGGAAGAAGAGAATTGACTTGCCGGATGTTATATCGAGGGCACCGTAACATCCTGGCTCCTCAACACCGAAACCCCATTGGAAGAATGATTCCTTCAACAGAAAAAAATTCCATCATTTTCTAAAAATTTCATCAAGCTGAAAAATGTCATTCAATTCCAATATTGAAATCTCGAAAATTCGACATCTGATTATTTTAAAGTAAATTTAAAACAGAATAATTAATTCATTAATTAATATTTTTCAAATTTCAACATTTGAAAATTCAATTGAAATGAAAAATTAATGAAGAATGAGAAATTAAATTTGAAATGTTGTTCCAATCTCGTAAAATTCTTAAAGATCAATAAATATTTTGTTGCCTTCTTCAATCCTCTACCACCAGGTCAACGGCTCCAACAATTTACGAGTTATTTCGAGTCAGATAGATCTAGGTGGAAGGGAACAACAAATAGAACCAACGGCTTTCAGTTGCCGAGCGGAAGTGGCCGATGATTAGAGAAATTCTGACTATTTGAGTCGAGTAAATTCCTCTGGACCAGTTATTTTCCTGAATAATTGATAAGAAAATACTGGGAGGGAATTATCTAGGGGATCTCTCACCTGTCTGAACTCGTAGTTGATGTCTGTGTCGTTGAATGGAACTTCGTCCCCTCCCTGGAGGACGACGAAGGCATTTTCCTCGAGCCCTGGGGTCTTCCTCAGGGCATCGACGAGACGATTTCGATTATCTCGAAATAGAGACATTGGAACACGCAGGGTGTGATCCCCACGTACAAAATGGGACTCCATCGGACATCTGAAACACGCAGTAATCAACGGACATGAATGATCGTTTGATTAAAAATTATCGTCAATTCATTTATAAAAAAACCTTTTGTTAACCGCATCAATAAATTCAATTTATCATCCTGCCACTGAGGGAAAGTATTTTTAATTAGAATTTTTGATTTTAACAATTTACGGTTTATTTATTAAAAATGTTTATTATGTTTCAATCCATGGATTTTCATCAAGCACGGAAACAACAATAAATAATTGAGAAAATATATAATGTTGTGAATATATTATATATTTTCATTGTACTAGGAAAATAGAAGAGATTTCATTTCATTCAATTTATTTCGAGTGAATTTTCTATTGTTTGGTGGGATGAAAAATATTAATAATGATTCATTCTTGTTTTTTTACGTACTGAGGGCGAGAATGAATTTTCATTGAAGTTCTGCAGAAACTTCTATTTCTTCCCCATGAAAACAGCGGATATGCCCTCGACAAGTTAAAAAGCCGTCGTTTCGACGAAATAACGAGTAAAGTCCTCACTGCACTCGTCATTTCCTGGTGGAACAATTCAATGGAGAAAGTTCAGGTTTCATATCAAAAATAGAATTATGCAACTTTCCGTTCGACTTCTTATTCAGTCTTCACCCCTCGTTATGATTGATATTTATTTTTTTTATGATGGGATTAGATAGTAAATCCTGTTGTAAATTATTCGGAATTCTCGAGATGTGATTTTCGTGATGATTAAATAATCTCCGGAGATGGATAGGGGATTACGGTAGAGATTACTCTGACTTATGCTCTTGATTTTTTTGTGTTCCCGTTTTTATTTCACGATTATCATGGAAACTATTGGGTTTACAGAAAAAAGTGAAATAACTTTCTAGCGGGAGAATCTCATTTGCTACAAAAAGTTTGAGTAAGCTTTTTATCCAAATCCAGTGGTTTTCGAGATCGGCGGAGAATTATAAAACAAATATTTTGGCTTGGATTATTTTTCTGCGCAATTCAGTTAATGGTAATTATCTAATTATCTCTGTAATGAGTGGAGGTACAGAGAAGGTCATAGAACGTTTTTTGTAGGGAATGATTGGCCGGACAAAAAAGGTGGTATGAAATTTCTTTGAAAATCCGCGGCTTTTCGAGATATTTGAAAATTCTCAGGACGTAACACGAAATTCAGTTTTCATCGGATGTGTCATCCCATAATTACGCGCCCATTCCCCGCTTTATTTATCACCCGAAAAGAAAATCCTCGACAGCCCACGTCGTATAACCGGTTTAGTGTCAACGTTTTGAATCGCGACCTTTACGCAAAATCCCACCGCAAAAAATCGACGTCAGAGCGAAAATAAAAACTAAATTCCATCGACCCGAAATCTCTCACATTCACAATCATATTAAGCCGTTCAAGCCGGATGAAATTCAAAAAATCAATTAAAATTCAACGAAGGAATAATTCCGCTACCAATTTCCGCTGATAAATTCCTGAAAATCAGGAATAAATCCTGACCAGCAGAGGAGCTTTCCCTGATGTTGAGAAAACGCCTGAATCTGAATCTGAAGTTGTGAATCGCGTCGCAGTTTTTTTTCAAAACTGAACTTGAGACACTCATCTCGAAAATATCCGTGATGGAGACATGAATCATTCTGTATGACACAGTTAATATGAAGAACAAGAAAGAACATGGAAAATCAACAAGTGGAACGAGAAGTTCGAGTGCACTTTCCGCAAGTGATTCAACTCCAAACAATTCCTTATTTTTCAGAGCATTGCGGTGATACTATATCCATGATTCATTATACGCATGCAGGGGAAATCAATCGAAATTCCTCAGAGGAATTTTTTCATCTCATCAACAGCAGAAAATAATAATAAATAAAAAGAGTACATCCAGTAGGAGATATCGACGTTTTTTTGCAATTATCGATTTATCTCGGGAGCTATCGATTTGAGGGCGCAGCCTTAGGGACATTTTTTTTGGCTTATTAAATTTCTGAGAAAAAAGAACTTTTGACATTTTCGTCTAAAACCAGTAATTTATTGTAAATCAATCGGTGTATATCAAAACTTCGAGGAGCGATAACATAAAGTTGATACTTTTCTCATTCGTAATTACTAATTCATCAGGAAAACCGTCGATTTTAGGCGGAAACGTGAGAGGACTTTTTTGTAGCTGATAAAATTTCCCACAGAAAAGATCTCTTGGTATTTCCTCCTAAACCAAATAGTTATCGATTAATCGATATCGAAATGGATTCCTCTGATTTTAACGGCTTCTCAAATGAAATGATGTAATGGTTTCGATAATTAGTTTAATTATCTTCAAAATTCAGAGAACATTTTGGTGTAGTTGGATGTTTGATGGGTTTTTATCGTAATTTTTGGGGCGAAGTGCAAATAACAGTTTGATAACTCAAATCGGGATCCGTTGGCGTGAAAGCCTTAACAAACTTCAATATTTGTGGTACGTGTAGGTTGCACTGACAAAATTCGTCTGGCAGTCCTCCCATTGTCCACGACGAACTCCACCGAATATTTCCATGACGACGTGTCACGTACAGGAATACATTTATTTTCCCCTATCTTCTTCGATAATCGATTACAGAGTTATCTCTCGTCATTGGCCAATTATATCGTCGACAAGTGAAGAATTTAACAAGACATTTTCAAATCTGACTTGCACCTTTAGTAAAAAAAATGAAATTAATTATTCTACGAATTTTCAAAGACTGGCTTCCACTGATTTCCTTGAGTAGTTTTTTTATCATTAATAACAAATTATAATGACAATCATTAATAACAAATTATAATGACAATCATTAATAACAAAAAACGTGAAATTATAATTCATATATTTTAGCGTAATGTACATATATTTTTTTGACAGCTCAATTGTCTCTAAAAGAGAGAAATCTAAAAGGTTTAATGGATAATTAAGGAAAATACATTTTTATACACAATTTCTCCAAAATCCAAGATCAACTTTTTTTTAAATATAATATTTTCAAAACGAGAAACCGCAGGTCGAAAATCGCAATATTGCAAGAATATTTTGATAATTCAGGGAAAATATTTCCTTATAAAATTTTTTTTTTTATAAACCACAATTTACGCAAAAAAAAAATCTACACAAAATTCTATTACAAAGTAAACAAATCCCCATAACCTCAAAAAAAAATCAAACAAAACTCCAAAACTCCAGTAAAAATTGCCATCAAACTAAAAAAAAAATCAGTATAAATTCGTAAAATCCGCGACCATTCTGTCCTCAACGAATTCTCGAATGAATTCCTCAGGAATTCCTCTAAAATCCCCAAACCCATGAATTCTTTAAACCATTTTTAACCCCTGAAACCCCCGAAAAACCCCAAAAATACAAGAAACCCCAGAATCATCAACTAATTATTGAAAAATCAATCAATCAATCAATCAATCAAAAATTTGTCAACGACATATGACAGATAACAAAATCCGAGGCACTGGACGACGTAAATAAACAAATGACGTTAATAAAAAACGAACGATAAAAACAACTAATTAAAAATAGGGTAATAAACAATTAGTGAATCGATGAAGAGGTACATTAAATGGAGAGATTTATTAATTTATCAGGGAATGATGCTATTTGTCACATAAATACTTACGTGGTCGGCTCTCCGGCGGCCATATTTGTTAGTTAACAGATGTTTACCCCCACTTTTTCCACTGAATTCCTGGAAATGTCAACTCCACGGAGTTGACGGTAAAACTGATGCTCCAACGGTCGATTCCCTCAGTTTTTTTGTTACCTCTTTTCTTATTTGTTTTGCTAAGAAATATCGCGTCTGATAATCGTAATTTAGCAGTTGATTATTGGGTGTTCGATTGATTTCTGATAATCAGACGTTTCGATTTTTTGGGACGGATTTTTCAGACGGAAATTATGGACAAGATAAATTGGTACCTGAAAGTTATTGAATTTATGCTGATTAAACGGCAAAGACTAAAAAAAAAATTATTGAGATGAAAAGACATTTAATATTTATGCAAGAGTATGTGAATAGTCCATTGTAGGTTGAGTTATTAATAAATTAATAAATAAATATGAATGAAGAAAATAGAAAAGCTCGAATTGCCGATTGGCCGAGAAATCATGAAGATTTTTATTTTATTTTGATCGTATCTCTGTAATTATTGATTTTATCGGAAAAAGTAATGGGAATTTTTTGTGGTCCAGGGAATTTTCTATAAAAAAGATATTATGATATTTTTCTCTGCAACCCGTCTTTAATGAGATAACTGAACAATTGCAAACAGTAAAAATAACATCATCTCGTTTTTTGATATTTTTCAAATTCTTCTTAAAATTCGCAATTTTCGATTATATTTGCGGGGGCGTTAATTCGTAATTGATTATTCAATGTCAAAATGGTGCCTCATAATTTACAGAGAACAATCAAATCAAAAAACCAATTATTCTCTTAATTTCCGGATAATTTGTCAGCAAAAATTGCAAAATTCATTCATCAGAAGTTTTTCAACTAGAAATTAGTCTTAATTAAAAATTTAATACGAATTGACCAAAAAATCGGACAAATGAACTAATGGATTCAGAAAGATATTCATGACACAAAAAAAATAAATTTTACTTGCAAACAAGAATTTTTTGTCTGCACTAGCTTGAGGCAATTCTCGATATAGAAATGTCCCCGTCAATTTGCGGACGAGGTCGTCTCATTGCTTGTTTACGATTGCAGAAACAAGAGTATTATTGATGAATAATATAAACTTTTACAATTGACTCGAGGCCTTATTTGTAAATCCGAGTTAACGATGGGAAAAACTAATTTATTGACTAAATCACCGCCCCATAATTACACCCAAAAAAAAACCAGTCGAAATTTCGGGATATCTCCGGAGCCATTGAGTTCAGAAAAAAAAGGCAGAGGAAGATTTTATAGAGAATTTTATTTCCAACATAAATGAATTATCATTTTTTTCCGTAAATCCAATAGTTCATGAGGTAAATCGAGAAATGTCTTCGGAAAATCAAAGGTTCAAGTTTTTAACTGAAACATTTATTGTTTGGAATGTTTTTTTTTATAAATGAATGATGGTCGGCAAATTATGATTGTGAATTGATGTGAATGCCTTTTTTTCTCGTGGGGAAGAGTTGAGAAATTGCAGGCTGTAAATACTGTATTCAGTTGCGCAAAATTGTTTACTGTATGACGTGCAAGCACTCGACGTATGTAGGTTGATTTTCTTGGTAAGCTTGGTGATATTAGTCACGCAAGGGTTCTAGTCGAGGAAGGAAATTGCAAATGTAATGAGAAAATTTTTGAAAGGTACGAATAATTGACGAAGTACTTTACCCCGATTTCCAGAGGAATTCCTAAAATAAGGGCACTCAACAAAAAAACTCGTGAATATCTCCGGAGCCGCGAGGTTCATCGAAAAAAGTAATTGGACTTTTTTTTAGCTCTCTAAATACCCCACAAAAAAATCCTTATCACATTTCCCCCTAAAACCCTCCCCTACCGAGATAATAAAGAATTCAAAAAGATGAAAAATCGCAAAGCCTCACTCACTCCAAAATTCACACAACCCTTTCTCGCCGAATACCTCCGAGACTATTGCTCTTATAAAAAAAAGTGATAAGACATTTTTTACAGTCCACAAAATTTTCCATAAAAAGTGTTTCACAAAAATTTCTGTGACACCCCTCCTGTTCGAGATAACCCTATAAAACCTTCTCGACTCATTTTTCCCCAGGTTTTCAGGACTCCCAAATCCTGAAAGGACCTCCGGTATACTTTCTCTCTTCCCATAATGACCAGAAACTTGTATTTAACGAACAATGAGTTTTCGTGGGTACCTGCAAGTCCCGGAGTAAATGAAAACGCCTGTGCATCCGTTTTGCTCGTTTTTCAGTTTCATTCTGTTCAATGCTCCCAAGGGCGTAGATACCCAGGGATACAACTCCATTGAAAATTACTACAACTGTCCTTCTAGACTCTTCCCATCGGCCATTGAAAAGAAAAAATTGTTTTATTTTTACTCCATTGAGGCAACGCGACTTGTCTGCATAACGCAATCGTATATTTTTTCAATAGTATTGCCAATACGACGAAACGAGGTCTTTCATTGGTACAATTGTCACTCATCAATTCATTTGACATCAAACCAAAGATATAACTCGATGATTATCCACAGAAATTGAAATTACAATTCTCCAGAAGGAATGACAGTTAAAAATCCCTTGAACCGAGAAAAACTCCTTCAAACAATTTTCAAAGTCTTCTAAAATCGTTCTGTTGTTTTTTAAAAATTATTATCACATTTATTATTATATTCGGCGTTTCTATAAACGTGATCTACTCAGTATTTAAATCGAGTAATTGGAGATTATTATTGGAAGAGGAAGGGATAAATATTGATAATGAGATGAGACAGAATCTGATTTGAACTTTAAATATTTGATTTATCTTTAATTCTATAATTACAAGGTTTGCCGACAATACCCGGCGATCACAACGAGATATATTTTTGTATTTTCCTTAACACTTTACCTCACAACGTTGAACTAAAAAAAATGTCCTCACTGGTGCCTTGAAAAAAAAAAATTACAGGCAATCGTGAATTAGGGGTGAAGTGGCAAAGTGCACGTGACATTTTCGTAATTATCATGTGAACTATTGGTGTCAGAGAAAAAGTCAATGAGCCTTTTTTGAAGCTCGTAAAATTCTCTACAAAAAATGTCGACACCATTTTCTCATACAATCAACGTCTGACGAGATAATCGTCCAATTAGCGAGAAGTTTCAATGGAAATCGTCACGTTTCTCCACTTCACTTCCAAATTCAAATGAAATGGACAGAAAAGTATGAAAAAAAAATGATTCATCATCCACACACATTCGAATATCTTCTATCCTACATTTTAACGCAAAATCCAGGATTCGTAAAGGTTTATTGATGCGAAAACGTTTTTTTTTTCGCAGTGAAGCGCAATTGAAAAATAAAAAAACAATTAATTCCACCTGTCATCGCGTAAGTTTAATCAACAGTGAGTCATTAATTCGATGTTTATCGACAGGCTCATCCTCAGTGGCGTGAGTAATACCTCACATGTTGACGAACAAAATGAGAATTAGAAAAAATTGCGGTAATATTTGCGCTTCTGTGTAAAAATAAACGATTAATTTGTTGCATCAATGAACAATATTTATTGATATGCACTAAAACATGCACAATTGATATCTGCAGGTGAGTGGCAAAAGGAAACAAGTCCAGAAATTGATTTTCAATCAATTATCCATCTTTCACTCAATTCCGATAAATTCATCCAATTAAATTTCCATTAAATTTCTCATTTAAACATAATTAATTTTTTTTTAATTTTTCATTTATTCGATCTCTTCCTCGGGAACCAGTGGTTTTACGTAGTTCCAGAGAATATGAATATTCCAGAGGAATGATCTTTTATCTGGACAAACTCCAGATAATTCCTCGGAAATTCTATAATTTTACAGTAGTTTGAAGAAAAAAAAAACTGGAAATTGAGTTTGGACTCGCCTTCGTCTATCATTCCCCTACCAAAATGTATAAAGCTATTCCATAAATTCGAGTTACTTCCCTCTCGCTGTAATTCTCTCATTTAACTGTTCAAATCGTCCTGAATACTCAAAGGTAATTAAATTATCAACAGAGACTGGGGAAAACCGAGTGAAAGGGGGAATTTTTAATGAATTCACCATCACTCGTGTCCTCCCCATTACAATGAGCTAGTAATAATGAGAATGAATGTTCAAGAATTCTTTCAATTAATTATCATCGAGATTGACATTTTTCACTGAGATCTGTTTTCCCCTGGCAGTTATCCCGAAATATCTCGAGACCCAGTGAAGATATAAAATTGTCCTTTCGACCTTTTTAAAAAAAGCTCCACCAGATCTCGAGATATTCCGAAAAACTCAATTCACACCCTCAACTCTCCCCTAAAATTAAAGACGAAAAAATTAAAAAGAAAAAGTCGTACGGTCCTGTCACCCCTCCAAAAAAAACCCAAAAATCCCGAAAAAAAAAAATTCCAGAAATTTTCTTAAAAAAAAAATTTAACGATCCACCGACCCGCGAATATCTCCCGTTCCATCGATCCGATTCTCACGATCCACCTCTCATTTCAATCCCCTCAGAATCCCCTTCAAACCAAAAAATTATTCCCGAAAATCCACCCAGCCAATCCCAAAATATCCCGATAACAAAAGCCCTCGTATCGCAAACGACTCAATCGTTCAATCTCTCTTCACAATTCGTATACAAAGTCCTCACAATCTCCTCCAGGAATCAAAATCCCCTCAATTAATAATACCCCACAAATTTATTTGTCTCCCACGAGGAAAAAAAAAATAGCTAACGAATTCACAAGACCTCTGGATCGTAAAAATCAGGTAGTGGCTCATCCTCAGAGTCGTAATAGTAGTCCTTTCTCCTGTAGACTCTGTGGATGCCCTCGACGTGGTCCTTCTCGTTCTCATCGTCATCGACATCCTCTAATTTCGTTGTCTGGAGTTTCTTGACAGCTTCGTTAATGAGTCTTCCCTGCTCGAGTAATTCCCGTAGCTTCTTGTAGGGATCATCCTCAGTCTTTTCCCTACCCTTTTGCAATCTGTACTCCATTCTCCTGAGTTTTCTCGAAGGGACGAGGTAAGGGGCAACTCGCCTCTGGTCAAATGTTGATTTTGCCTTCAGTGATGAGAGACGGAGATTCTTCTTTATCTGTGAGACCAGGAGATCGACGTCTCCTGTCAGGAAGTCTTGCGTTGTCTCAGGGATGACCTTGAAGCGGTACGTCGACTCCTCAGCACTCGGCATATTTTTATTTCTCAACGATTTATCTATCCAACAGCAACGAGACTCCAATTTTATCACCTCACCACTTATTTTCAGTTGTTTATTATTCCTCTGGATGTCCTAGCATTGATTTTTCCATCAGTTTATTTCAAAAAAATATTTATTTCAACTCTGATTTTGTTTATTTATCAATCAATTTTCCAGTCTTCAATTATTGTTCTCGATTCTCTTTCCCAGGAGATGAAAAATTGTCAATTGTCACTATTTTCACAAGTAGTTCAGCCACGTTGAGTCAATTATTCCTCTCAATTAATTTTAAATAATTAATTGCAGTTTATAATTATGAATTAATGTTTTTTAAACAGTTCACAACGTGCAATGCATGAGGCAATAACAAACACGGATGAATCACAAAGCGCGTGATTGATACAGAGGAAAAAAACAATTCTCTCCTTCCAATCCTGTATTTTATAATTTAAAAAATAATGAATGAGTAGTTGAAGCTGTAGTACGTTGCAGTGTTTATACTCGGTTGAGTCAGTGAAAAAAAAGAACACAAACTGACGAAATATTGTTTATTATGACTCGTGGTTATCCGTGCGTCAATGAATGGGAGTTAAAGGCCTCCAACACGCGCCTCTTGGAAAGAGAGGAAATAATCGAATGAGAAAGAAGGATTTTAGGTTTTTTTAACGGCTTTCTCATCCAACCGTCGGGCTCCCAGCACACAAAAACTCTGCCTCGAGATATTTCGTCAGACAAAATTACAGTCTTCTCAATTTTACGAGCCCACAGTTCCGTATTTTGAGATACAAAAATTACTCAACCCTCTGCACGATTATCAATGAATCATTCACTTGATTTTTTTCTAACTGTGATTCAATTTATTATTATCCATCGTTTGTCTTCAGCTGATGTTTTCTGTTGTTTATTCTGGTGTTTATTCTGTTGTTTACAGTCGGCGAGAAGCTTCTGGATTTTTTCAGACTTCACAATTCTTGACAACAGTATTTTTTTTTAAATACTCGTCACTTTTATATTATTTATTTATCCCTCGAAACCCAGAAAGCCACTGGATCACTAGTTCTCGCAATTATTTCACTGAACACCGCGAAATTTTTGCAATGTGTATTACTGTACCTAATCGAGGTTTCCGGTAGATCCACACACATGTAGTATTTTCTCAAATATCTCCCCAAATTTTGGATTCTCTCCTCCAAAATATCTGCAATCTGCCTCCTTGAAGCTGAAGTTGCGAAAAATTCCGGGAGAACGATTCGCAAAAATTCACCCAAATAAATTCCAACGAGTCCTCAAAACACTTGCGTTATTGTTTATGTTGTTTCACAAACACTGAGAAAAACAAACCACAATAATGTACAACACGAGTCCCAGACACTTTCCCCAAATTGTTCCAGCAATTTTAATTCACATCAGCAATGGTATTCAGTGGATTTAGCGTCTCGTGATGATGAAATTGGTGCCAGTCATACGCTGGATGATTTTACTCTGACCAAACACCAGCCATGAACCTTTCTACTCTGTTATTATTGTTTTGGTATCACTCGCGCATGCGCACAACGACACGTCGCGTTGTAAACAAACCGTTAACTCCGGAGTTGTGATCGATAAATATTTTATCCTCTTCTTTTTCTCATCCACGAGTCAATGATTTTTCGTCACTCATACGTACAATTGTTTATTTTTCTCACCTCCCTCCTATTTTATTTTTTCACGGTATTTTTGGAGGGACTCCACCACAAAATGGCGGAGTGGTGGATACGAGAGGGGAAGAGGGAGGGATGGGATTTGATGGTGGAAGTGGTGGATTTTTATTTATTTTTCGGCTGTCCTGGGAGTCCTGATGGGGATATGGCTCTTTATGCTCTGGTGGAATATCGTGGGAAGGGAACACCCGGCGAGAGCTGGGAGTTTGGGAAAGGGCATGGGGGAGGGGTGTCTGGATGCCGTGGATCAAGGTCACACGAAAATCAACGGATGTGGGGGGAGGTGATTCACGGACGCGTGGTGATTACTCGAGTGAGGGGATTTATTGGAAAAATTCATTTTTTCTTTGTTTTTTTTTGTAAAATGAGTGGTTTTTGAGATAGTGAGCACTGATACGATTGAAAGAGATGAGAGAGAAGATGAGAGAAGATGAGAGAAACGGTTCACCGGTAATTGTTGTTAATTTAAAAATTCTCGTAGTTTTTATTGATAGTTTAATGATATAATTTGAGAACACTTGGGATTATAAAAGTAGAAAATCGATACTCAGGAGTCCAGGGAATTGACGAAGTGGGAACGATCGACAATTCGTTGGGCCTCGTCGTATTTAGCCTTCAGGGTCTCCGGGTCGGATAGAAATCTCTGCCAGAGAATTGATTTCTCACGCTCCAAGGAGCCATTTGCAGTCTTTGTCTGAAAATTAATGCAATTATTCTTTAAATCCAGGGAAATAATTGCGAGTTAAATTCCCCAAACGAATCATTCACCAGAAATTAATGGTTTAAGGAGGTGATACCAAAATATCATTCGAGGAACATTAGATAATATTTCTACATTTTCATGACGCCTTTTAATTGAGTAATTCGATAATTGAAGCTGAGGTAAAGTTGAATTACCACAATATCCTTGTATTTTTTCCTAGTCTCATTGACAGCGGTTTGAGCTGCTTCCACATTACTCGTCACTTCCTCCAGTTGAGTGGCTATTTTGTAAGGCATCAGTTTGAAACTCTTTGTCATCCCCTCCGATGTCTCATGATCATAGAGAGTCATAACATCTTTTTCCCTGATGGATAAAAATTGAAATTCAAAGTCGGAAACGAATTAGAAAGTCACAAACGAACTATAAATTAAAACTTGACTTAAATTAACGCAATGAATAATTAAATTTCGTTCTTAATATATTTTTTTATAATGATTTGCACTCACAGGGGCCCTAGCATATCGATTCTGCGGTCTAAATCCACCCCCAAAATTTCTCCTTTCATTTTTCTATTCTCTATCAGCAATTCATCGTATTGTTTTGTCGATAAATCCAATGCGTCTGTCGGTTTTTCTTTTCCAAGAAGCAACGATGAAAATAACTCGTTGAAAATATTCTGTTTGTATGACGGTGCTGTTATTATCGAACTGTATTTTTCCTGCTCTTTTTCCATGAATTCCTGAAAAACAAATCAATGAAATGATTGAAAATTCACGATTTCCCAAACATCTCGGAAACCACAAGGTTTACGAAAATATACGTAATAACATTATCTGTAGAAAATCAAATTTCCTACAAAAAAGTCCCCGGCTATTTTTCTCCACCACCTTTCTATCTCGAAATATCGACAAAATAATCCATCCCAAAATTTTAGTCTCAATTTCCAACGAGTTATCGCCTAAATGATCAGTTATCTCGGTAACGAGTGATCATATCCAAAAACATGAAATAATATTTTATCTAGAGAATCGAATTTCTCATAAAAAAGTTTAATACCTTTTTTCGTTAAATTTATTAGTTTTTGGGAGAATTATAGAAAACTTTTGATAACTGGATCAAGAAACTTTTTGGGGGATTGATTGATGTCTGGATTAATTATTCTTATCAATCTTCTCATGTAATTTACTCACACATCTTTTGGAGGCATGTATATACTCAGCAGCGATGTGATATCTTATGTCATTAACGAATTCAACGATTTCATTGAGTTTCCTCAATTGCACTTGCATAAGTATCGCCAATAAATCAGAATGTGCATGACCCATATCTCGAGCAAAATGCAGAAGCCTCTCCATCCTCGATAACCGCTTTTTTCTGCGCTCCAGACGTGCCTGACCATTCTCAAGGAGTATTTTAGTTATAACGAATTTTCCGTAATAATTGGCAGCCTCTTGCAACCGAGTCTCCATCAGAAGATTAGTTTCCTCTAGGATATCCCGTCGCGATATCAGTTCTGCCATTTCCACCCTGCAAAATAATTTTTCATCTGACAACCCAAAATTAAACAATTACTGCAAAGAACAAACACAAAAACCCGACGACAAGCGAGAAATTTCTCTTCTCTCCCTATCGTCTCCCTAAGCATTGAATTATCTCAGCAACCAGTGGATCCACAGAAAAATGTAAAATAAACTTTATGTTGCAAATTTTATCCTCTCCAAAAAGTTCTCATAACATTTTCTCGTAAAACGAGCAGATGACGAGATAATCGACGATTAGTGACGCAAAGATTTTCAGCGATTATTTTTTTAAATGTAAATGTAGAAAATTATTGGTCTCACTTCATTTGAGCGACAGATTCCGGGGATTTAACTTCTCCGTGATTATATATATCCAGGGCATGGGTTGCAACAGCTTCGGTGGCCGTTAGTACTTGTCTAGCTTCAATTTCTTCTAGTGTCGATGCTATCAATCTGTAAGAAATTCAAATATTTAATCTGTGAATTTTTTTATTGGCGTGTTGTGGGATTTTCTGGGCCTCACATGTTCTGGCAAGTGATTAATTCGTATGCTCTATCATTCTGCATCTGCTCGGACGAGTCTTCATCGCCTAATTGTCCATGTGTACTTGTCGACAGCACGTCGTTCTGCATTTGTTTTAATTCCCTGCTGACTTGAAATCTCAAGTAATTATTGTACGTGTCTGTGTGCTTTATGAATAAATCCAGAGGCACTTGAGTCCACACGATGGGAGGTCCCTTCTTCTCGGCTGCATTTCCGTAAACTCCCACGAGTGTCTGGACGTTATCGTAGGTCTCACGACATGCCGAGTCGAAACCGTCAATGAGTCCTGCATAATCTTCGTACAGTTTGCATTCTTGAATGCGGATTTTCTGGAGATCAGCCTCTTCGGCCTCGATTTCTTCCTCCAATTGGTTTTCCAAGTCCCTGACAATAACAAAAATAAATAAAACAAACATTTCACGCTCTTTTTTTATGAATCATTTTTCATTCACATTCATTAAATGATTGAAAAATTTACGTTATTAAATAGAAACGGATTAATTTATTAATTATTAATATTAAATAGATTAATTGGATTAATAAAAAAATGAAAAATGATTTTTATGGCAGAGAAACCTCATTTTTGGGGAATATCTCCCAATCTAAGAGAGATGAGAAAATTTGAGTAATTAAATTTTTTGTAGCTCTGATTTTACTCTACAATCGATGTCCTGGGGAGAATTTCGGTTTCTCGCTTAGATCCGGAGATATTCCTCGAGGATTGGAATAATACTCACTTGAGTGTTTTCAAGCTCAACTCCAAAGTTTCGATGTCCCTGACATCAGCGTCGTATGCATCTTTCTCGACTTCGTACTCCTTGCCAACATCTCCATCCCCTGTCCTCTGAACGAGCATCAAGAGCTCGGGACATTCTCCAATCGCTCCAATCAATTCTCTTTCCAATTCCTCACCTGAAAGGAAGGCTCCAGTCTCCTGGAGACGTTTTCTCAACTGGACCTCTTCCCTCAGGAGAACATTCTCCTGTCCCACGTGCTCGCAGAACCATCTGAGAAAAGGCTGCACCGATGTATTCTCACACGTGTCGTTTAACAATTTTGGAGTTAATTTGTACGAATTGTTGGGCAACAATTGTCGTATTCTCGACGACAATTCAGCACCGGTGATACTCATTTTACCTGAAAATCCACGACAAAAAGACAATTCTTCCTGATAATTTTTATTGCAATTACGCATAATTAATTTGTTATTAGTTTACAATATTTTTGTGAAGTCTAACCTCGAAATTAAAGTCATCTGGCTCTCGACTTCATCTGGGAAGATTTTCCACTCGAATTCATCTGGTTAATCAATTATCTGTGGATTTGCAATGAAGTGTGATGTCACGAGTGTTGTAATTGAGGATTGTTGCGGTTAATTGGAGTTTTTTTTGTTAATTGAATGACAGAAGTGAAGACAGAAAAAACCGCCCCGGTTTTTTGAAGATTCAAATTTCAGACGCGTCCTGTCAGGTGGCGTTAATTGTTGGTTTTCCATCGCCGTCGGTCATTTATCATTTTTCATAACTTACAAAAATTGTTGTTAAAAAAAGATGACAAAAATGTTGCCTTCTTTAAATAAATTATTCAATTTCCCTCTCTACATTTTTATTTTCCCGCTATTCTTCAAATCTCAAGTAAAAAACATAAATATTTAAAAATATTAATTCTCCTGTCTCACCTTTTTATTAAAATTAATTAAATTTGATTGATAGAATTAATAAAAAGGAGGCAACATTTAATATTTAATTTCCGAGGACAGCTCAATTTCGACAGTCGTTTTCAAATGAACAATAAAATGTTCTCAATATTTTTTTTATTAAAATAATTAAGATCATTCAAATATGACGAACATGAAAACTAACAATATATTCAGCGTTCGTTCGCTGAACAGAAATGGCGAATGGATCAGTCGGATGAAAAGTGAATGCAACGAGACGTCTGGCAACGACAGGAGTTGTCCTTCCCAGCATTCCAGCGTACATTCGAAATTTCAGGAGACCCGAGTCTCTAGCATAAAACCTGAAACCCAAAAAAAAACTCTAAAATTATTGCAGTCATCCCTTGGACATGCAACAAAATCGACAAATCAAAGACCTTCAATAAAATATCAAGACCTTTAATATCCTGCAGGAAAAAATAGCAACAGCTTCTGCATAATTGATAAATTCACTTAATTAATTAATTTGAGGATTTGATTGTTTATTGATTGCTTGTACCTGATTGGATGCTCAGCACAGGCTTTGGGCCTCTCCATCATCGATACCCATTTGTCATCATAACAGAAGAGTGACAGATCGAGGTAAGGCGAGCTGGAATATGATTGTGCACAGATGGGTAATTGAGAGAGTAATCTCTTCGTGGCCTCTGTCACACCACCATACCTCGCTGATACAATAGTCTGTTTAAACCTCTGCTGCATCAATCTAGCGTAAATATTGTTGGAGGGTGAACAGATGTACTGGCAGTCAGCATTTCGAAAAAAGTCACTGAAATTCTCCAACTGTGTGAGCATGTGAGAGGAGGCATTGTCATAAGCTGCCAAAACTCTAGCTGACACCATGTCGTAGACAACTAGAAGTGCAGGGTGAGCATTTGGATCGTTTGCCTGAAGAGTGGCTACTTCTTCACTGGCATACCTCACCAGGATGTGATTCGTATCCAGTAGCTGCATCTTCCACATCCTCAGGGCATTGTACTGCGAAATTAAATGAGAAACAATTATTTTCCAATTAATTTGTTGGAGAAAATTCAAAGGACAGAATTAAAAGATAATTCAACTTTTTCTTTAATTCAGCGTCTGCGAAATATCTCCGAATCTAGGGGAGATAGCGCAATTGTCATCAGGACTTGTTTTGTAGAGTGAAGTGAGTTCTACGAAAAAGGTTCTGATGTGAATTTAGATATCTCTCTCGGATTCCAAGATATTCTCTGAGAATAATTTATTGATGGAATTTTCACTTACTTGATCGAAGTACTGATAGAATCTGCGAAGCTCGTAGGGATTTCTCTCGTTATCACTGATGTAGGCTGCCCTTTTGTAGAGATAAACCAATAGTTTGTGCTTGAGAGAATTAATAGTTCCATCTCTAAAAGGCCGAGAGTTGCCACCAGGCCATGCAGATGCTACCAGATAGGCTTCATCCTCCAAACAAAATCTCCCAATCGTTCTAACATTGATGAACATACCATCGAGTATCTGGAAAATGTGAATGGTCTGGTGCTGAACCGAGAGAACAGCTAATATATCTTTGTACAAATAGAGCCCTTGATTATGGGACAGATAAATTTTATCGGTATAAAAACGTCTAGTATCACAGAGTTTTCCACCTCTCAGATCAACCAGGTGAAGGCAGTAGTCCTCGAGGGGTGATCGAGGATTGGGTGTGAGGGCCTCATTGTTTGAATAAATCTGGTAAAAATGGGGTCTCAAGTCTTCAGGAATATGTTTAGCTGATCCCACCACAACGTAACGTCCATCATCAGTAAATAAACTGCATTCTCTGTTCAATTGCTCATTACTGTCCACAACATTAACAACGCATTTGGGTTTAAAAAATCGGTGAAAAATACTGCTCCTGATGGAAAATGATCTGTCATCGTTCTTATCACCCACGAATTCTCCTCCACACTCGACGAGTATTTCAGCTGCAGCCGATGCACCCTCGTACTTGTAGACTTCGATTGAAGTCTGATCAGCACTGAAGGCCACTAAATACCTGCCATCGGGGCTGAACTTCCTGAGGAAACACGGGGGCTTCTCCACGTTGACAACCGTATAATTTGGGAATACATTCTGGTAAAACTGTCGAGAATTTATAACGTGAGTTCCTGGATGGAGACAACCGATTGTCTCTCGACGACGCAGTCTTATCACGATGTTCTGAGGTAGAAATTTCCGAGGCTTTATGGGACACTCCTCCGTCACAAACTCGATTTTTCCTTCTTTCTCGGTCATCATCGATCATTCGATCCGGTCTTCATCACTTTCTGATCGTTTCCAGTCATCAAGCCTGAAATTGTGAAATTAATTTTTCCAAGAGATGAGGATTATCTAGAAATCTACTAGAGACAGCGAGATCTTGTAGGGACCTTTTTTCTAGAGGGAAATCATGGCTACAAAAAAGGTATCAACAAAAATTTTGATATTTCCCTTATATTCGGAGATATTCCTCGAAAACTGAACTAAACACCGAGTCGACTTGTCGAAACTTACCTCTTTGTTGCTTAATTCACTTTAATCAATTAATAATTAAGGTTGATACATTAATAGAGTAAATTAATCACTTCATCACTTTGTTATGGTAGAAAATCGGGGAAATTTTAACATCGAGGAGAATTAACTCTATCGATATTATATTTGATAAAAATTGAAGTAGTTGGACGAAATTTTTATTTGATGAGTTTAATTTATTAGTTGAGTGCTAAGTGGTATATCGAGGTAGAAAATTAACGATAAGTAAAAAATTTGGTTCCGGGTTGAGACATTTCGCCCTCTTGGGGTTCTCGATCAGCTGATTGCTGTTGATGTCAGGGCAGGGGGCACCACATGCATTTTTGTTGTTTGGATTTTATTCGTTGCACATCAGCACGTGGATTTAGATCCGTTCAATTAGCCCCCCTCGTCGATATTTTTTAAATTTTCATTTTTTTCCTCATTGAGAATGTTTTGAAGATATTTGCTAGTTCATAAAAAATATTTGCTAGTCGTTATTTTTTTTTATATGATTTTTCAAAAAATTGTCCCTAAAAAAAAATTTTCTACCATCCTTG